CTTGGGGCAAAGGACACCTTCACAGCAATCACCTAAGACCACTGGAAAACAGATATTTACATTATGATTAATAGCAAATTAGTTATGAGTAAAGTAAAACAATTTTACGGATGGGGGGTCACCACAACAGGAAACTGAAGTAAAGGTCACAGCATTAGAAGGTTGAGAAGCACTGTTCTACAACAAAGCATGCTGACAAGTCAGTAACCAGCACCTCTATGGTCTCCCCATCAGCTCCTGCATCCAGTCTAAGTAAGGTGCTCTGGTCATGTGTTTCATCACAGCAAGGACACAGCTCTAAGCGTTTCTGTGCAACTGTTTTCAGAGGTTTTAACTCAAGCAGGAAGACCTACCCTGAATGTGAGCAGGATCCCCATCCTACAAGTGGGGGTGACCCTGAGTCTGACTACAGACACAAAGGGACCACTTCTTTGTTCTAGGCCACCACAATGGACTATGAGCCCACATCACCTCCCGTCCCAAACTTGCAACATGAACAGTAACTAAACAGCATAGCTTTAGCCTGCCTCTGCCTCCCCAGTGCTAACTAAAGATGGGGGCCACTGCACCAGGTCCCACATTTCTTCATATGGCAACTATTGTCACTTTTTTACCTGCTTCCCACAGTTTTCACCATTTTCTTCGTACAGGTTTTCCATAGCCTTTGAAACCCCTAATCGTATTACAACATTGTGATGGATCTTTCAAGATCTGGCCAGTGCCCATTTTTCTTCCTAGTCCCATCTCTTGGAGAAATTACTGAAAAGAGGTTTGTTTTTATAAAACATACAAAAGGGCTCGGCTCTGACTAATGGTCTAACAATGAGAAGAGCTCTTGCAGGAGCTTCACTGAATTAGTCAAATTAACAAAATTACTTCATTGAAAACGTTTACACTGATTTCACTACAAAGTATCTTGCATTAAACTGTCTGAAGCAAGCTAAGTTTTCCAACCACTCCAATGTCCCTTACTTTCTAAAAGCAATCACAAGCTTACCAAGAGCCCAGTGCTTACTGCCAAATTATGTCAGGCATGCCATGACTACTGAAACACTAAGTTAAACACAGATGCTCACGAACAACTAAAGGGTTACAAAGAAAGGACATTCTAAACTGATGGCCGTCAAACATGTAAATTCTCATTTTAAAGCCATCTATATAGAAGACACACTTAGGAAAGTAGATATGTAAAAATTATTTCTGAACTCATCTGTAGAGTGAAAGTAAAGATCTGGATCCCATTTGAAAAACAGGCAATTTGGACACTATCTGTTGTAATTTAAAATGAATGTTTAAAGCCAAACTATGCTCACAAACTTGGCCTATCAGTTAACCCACTGGGAAGCTTCTGCGTATCACACAACTACAGACCGACCATGCTTGCAGAAAAGAGCCTCTGTAAGCTAGCACCACCCTAATAGTTGTCTCCCACTCCGTGGTTCAAATGTGCACAGTAGGAAGAAAATGCCTTTTCTGGGGCAGGTTTAAGGGTTGGTTCTGTTTCTGAAGTCAACCATAGACTGCCAAAACTTCTAGGATTATATTTCTCATGCCAATTCGCATCTGAATTCAACTTCCCCACTCACTGTTAATTAAGTCTCCTCTACACATGTCCATGCTATCTCTATTTTACAGGTAACCCCAACCTGTTAGGTATTGCTTACCAAGAGAGAACGGTAACATGCTGCTCTTGGTCAAGACATTGGTTGTTCAAACAAGTACATATGTCCGTCCGTCCATCCTTCCTTCCTTGCTGTTTTCCTTTACTCCTATCACTTTCCTGAAAGGTACTACACCATCTTAGTTCTTTGAATACTAAATGTCAAAAGCCATAAATGAAGGCCATCCTAGAAAGTAGTAAAGACAGCTTCCAACCACTGCAAAATCCTTGTCTTTAGTCCAATGGCAGCCATCTACTGGTTTACTGCTAAAAATTAAGACTACAGGGCATTTTTTTTTTTTTTTTGGTTTTTTCAAGATAGGGTTTCTCTGTATTGTTTTAGAGGCTGTCTTGGAATTTGAGCTGTAGACCAGGCTGGCCTTGAACTCACAGAGATCCACCCGCCTCTGCCTCCCGAGTGCTGGGATCAAAGGCATGTGCCACCACTGCCCGGCCCATGGCAATTTTTAAAGTCCAAGACATATACTGACATCAAATAAAAGCTTCCTGATTTTCGTATCTTGTCCCTCCTCTAGTTAATAAACAGTAATTCTGAGGCCAAGAGATAAAAGTCTGCCCAGCAACTGCACCTGCTGAGGAGCTGCATCTGGCTCCCCTCCAGGACAGCCCCATGCTTGGCACAACTGTAATTCCTGCTAAACTGAACTCAGTTTTCCTGGAAGGACTGACTGCCCCACACTGTAAAGCTGTATTGTTTGTTTGTTTGTGAGACAGGGTTTCTCTGTGGCTTTGGAGGCTGTCCTGGAACTCTCTCTGTAAGACCAGGCTGGCCTCGAACTCAGAGATCTGCCTGCCTCTGTCTCCCGAGTGCTGGGATTAAAGGTGTGCATCACGGACACCCAGTGTAAAACTCTATTTTTAAAACTTGAGCCCTTTCCATTTAAAGTCTGAATTAGGCTTCCTAGTATATACGAATTCATTTTATTATGCCATACATAAACTGCCCTATCTGGGGCTCTATCTTTTCCGTGTATGAAGTATTAATATTAAGTACCTCTAGTGTCAGAGTCCTCTCATCAAGAGAGTTTGCTCTAAGTGTCTAGAAAGAAGGGAAGACATCAGATTCAATACTGCATGCAGTTTCCAATTAGCAGCACAAGAAAGAAAAGGTTAGGTATATGCCATGTAAGGGGGGAAATCCATGTTTGACACATGCACCAAGGACCAATTCCACGTGGTAACACCCACACCCCTTGATCTACCATCTAAATGGTGAGTACTAAGTACTTGACAACATGCATAGCCAGGATGGGTTGCTGAGCTAGGAATATTTCTTTCTCAGCTAATAGGATGCAGGTGATTAATACAACAATTAAGTTGTACTCATAATTGATGTTACCAGCCAATAACAGGAATTCTGCAACAAGATTAGCTGCTCACTTTTCTCAAAAGAAAGAAACCACACCCATGACTCATAAAGCACAATGGTATTTTGTCTCCCCAAGTACCAGTGTATTCTACTCTTGTACTTTACCAAGAGGAGGAAGGAGTTACATGAAAATTATTTCTAAGTCAGCATCACCTCTCTGAAAAACCCATTCTAAACAGAGGTATTCTCTGAGCCTTCTCAAGTTTAAACAAACAGCCTGGAATAGCAGCGGTACTGCCGGCCTAATTCCACCATCCTCCCCAAGACATCGTACAGCAATGTTTGAGCATTAATGCTACAAATCAGGACTGTACTATGAAAAGACCAAGACTAGAGGCAAAGCTTGTTCACAATTCCCTAAGTCACTTATACCGTGAAGAAATTAAGCTTTCAAAGGAAACACTTCATTTAGGCCTTGTGAAAGCTGGTGCTATCCCAGAGGAGGCATGTAAGCAAAGGGAGCACAGCCCAGGCTATTTAATGATAACTGCCCTGGGCGTTGGCAGCACACGCCTTTAATCCCAGCACTCGGGAGGCAAAGGCAGGTGGGTCTCTGTGAGTTCGAGGCCAGCCTGGTCTACAGAGCGAGTTCCAGGACAGCCTCCAAAGCGACAGAGAAACCCTGTCTCGATGAACCAAAACACCTCCACCACTACCAACAACAACCCCCCCCCCTGCATCTCATCTATCTCCCTGGCAGTTTTCTTCATGAGGAAACCAAGAGGAGACAGTTGAAGCTACTAGTCTCCTTAGGAAAATCCTCAAGATTTCCAGAACTTCTCTATTTCCTACCTGTAGAAAATATCCTAACCCCTACCTGGAGTTGCAAACGAGCTCATAGGAGGCAAATGTTAGCATGTTCCCTTTATCCCTAAAGCATGTTTCTGTCTTAGGAGAAATCACATCTGTTAAGAATACCCTTGGAAACCGAAATAAAAACCAGTGGGGGGGGGAGGGATCCAAAGCCCACTAGGGCTCAATAAAACCCAGTGAAAGCAAGGGAAGGAGAAACAAACCTAACACATTTCTATTAGCAGGTGGACATTTGTCCAGTTTTCAATGTTCTTAATTACCTTATTTTGAATAAATTATCTTCAATATAGCACTTTTCAACCTTGGGAAAATGGCAGTTATAAAAGCCTTTATTACAGAAACAGAAATGTACCTAGAGCAAAAACCACTTGGTTTCTTTTTTAAAAATCAGATCTTAAAAATGGGTTCAATCTTTAAAGTCTGAAATCATTTTGAAGGATTAAATAAGGACAATTTAGGAATCAAAACTTTCTATCAATAAAGACAGTCTTAAAAGAATTCTAATTTCCCAGTTGTAGTGGCTCCCAGCTTCTGAGCATTTGAGAGACTGAGAGAGCAGGACCAACACGAGTTTCAAGGGTAGCCTGGGTTGTAAGATGGATCCTGCCAAGGAAATTTAATTGGTTCATCTTCTATTATTTCAAGTTTCTGAATTAAAAACACATTATTTTGAAAACAGGAAATTCACACCAATGTAACATTTACTTCTCTTCGCTCAAAAGCACAGTGTTTCTTCAACACAGTAGGAGCCAAATACTTAGAAACTCCTAGAACCACATTTCATTGTCAATGTCCAAGTTGACTTGTAACATAAATCCACACAACTGCAAACCAGTTTTCTTTCTGCACAGCAGGCTACTCTGTTATAATGGCCGAGCCAGGGAAGGGAATCCACCTGCAAAGAGCGTCTACACACTTGCACAGAACACGGGTGTGAAACTGCAGACACCCATTTATGACTACCAGCTCTAGCACCGCAGGAACACCAACCGTCGGTGGACGGCTCGTCTGGTTTCTACTTACCCTCGACTGCTTGACAGACACACTGCATTTACCCCACAGTAATGACCTACACCGGTGCAGCGTCTCTCTCACACTCCTCATTTGGCTACAATGGAGCGGAAGAACGACTCTTACCAGGACGTCATTGCAGATGTCTCTCAACTCCGCCTCAATTTTCTCCCTGTACTCCCGAGCCATCTGCTGCTTCTTCTCGGCGCCTTCCGTCTTCTGCTCAATACTTGAGACAACCCTCCAAGATGACCTGCGGGCCCCCACAACATTCTTGTACGCGACGGAGAGGAGATTCCGCTCCTCGTTGGACAGCTCGGCTCCTTGCTCGGTCACAGACTTCATGCAGGCTGCCATGTCGTCGTACCGCTCGGCCTGCTCGGCCAGCTTGGCCTTCTGCACCAGCTCATTCTTATCCATAACTGGGAAGTCTGCAGAGGGACGGGAAGGGAAGGGACGCTCAGAAAACCCCTGTGGGAAAGCTCCTTGTACCTGCCACAAGACACACTAGTGCCTTCAACCCAGCTGCGTCGAAAAGATACGCACGGGGACTTAAAATACGGGCAGCCCCTCCCACCTAGCAGAAAAGGAGCATACTGTGCTTATTAACAGTGCCTTAGCGAAACTGACCGCGGACCCCCGATTTCAGGTAAGATCAAAGCATGTACGAGGGACCTCAAGAGCCACCTGCAAGCTGTCACAGTGCTGTCACAGCTCAGCCTGCTGCCCCTTGCCATGTATTAAACTTGTTTTCTTAAATAGCAAGAAAAAATTTTAAGAAAAAAAGCTCAACTCCATCCCAATACACTAAATGACCTGCACTTGAGCGCCTCTCCCTACAGACTGTGTGTGTGCATGTGTGTGTGCGTGTGTGCGTGCGCGCGCGCGCGCGTGTGTGTGTGTGTGTGTGGACACTCCAGACCAGGACCTGTAAGGTCTATTAAGAGCATTCAAGTCCCCACACTTCCAGAACCGCGGCTCAGGCCAGCCAACCTTCGTTATGTTTCCTCTGATGGCACTTTCCCCAGCCAACACACTCCACTTCCAGCATTTCCCAGGTGACCACGGAATGGAAAGTATCTTTAGAAAAGGGCTAACTGGGGCCTCAGACACCCTGACCATGAAACCACGAGGGCTCACTAACCCCCAGACCAAATGGATCCACATGGAGTTCCGAGCACACTCGAGTAGCAAGCTCCCACGGCTCAGTTCCTCCTGGGAACACGAGACATGGGAGGATCCGAGCGCCTCCTGCCAACGTCACATTGCGGTTCCGATGCAGGCTCCCTGCACGGTAGCTCGCAGCCACAATTTACCAGCCTTCTCGGCTCCAGCTCCCAGCATCCCCATTTACTTCTGCTCATTTCTTCTTTCCTGAACGACGTCAGCAGCAAGACTCTCGGTCACAGTGATGCCACAAAATGAACTTTAATGATGGTCACACCCTAGAGCACTGTTAAACTCAGTCTGCAGGGCTCCCCTGCCACCCTCCGTGGCCATCGCCACACCCTTTCCTGTAACCTCTCCAGAAACCACCCTTTTTCTTCTGGAGGGGGTGGGGTGGTCAATCAGAAGCATCCAGAACTGAAACAAGGGCCGGGCTGCGTTAGATCCCCCATCGGGAACGGCCCGGAGGAACGGTGTCAGCGCCGCACGCCCGTCCCGTCCCCCGATCCCCCCACCAACCTCCGCCGGACGAGGGGGAAGGGGATCGGGCTCCTCGCAGGAAGACCAGCGCCCCGGGGCCTCGCGTCTACACTGCGGGAGCCCTCGCCGCACCCACTTAACCCTCGGCTGCCCGGGGCGGGCGGGGGCGAGCCGAAACCGCGGCGGCGGTGACGGCGCCTTGAAAGCGAGCGCCGGCCCTCGCTCGCCCGCTCGCCCGCGCCCCCCGCAGCCGCCTCCCCTGCTTGGCTCCGCCCAGGCTGGCGCCTCCGCCGGTCCCCGACTCCCTCTCTCCCCCTCGCTCGCTCCCTTTGTCATGGCGGAACTGTGTCAAGCAGCCCAACCCCACCCGAGCAGAGCCGAGCCGAGAGGGAGGAGCGGCCGGCGGGGGCGGGGTGGGGAGGCGAGCGGCTCGCCCTCCCCCGGGGCGCCCCCCGCCCGCCCGCACGAGCGGAACCCGCCCGCGCCGGACACACCCCGCTCCCTCCCGGGGTCCCCGCCGCCCCGAGCCGCCCCCACCCCAGGACAGCTGCGGGAGGGGAGGGGAGGGGGAGGGGCAGGGCCCCACCCAGACCGGCGCAGCCCCCGCCACGGCTCGCCCGGAGGATGCTCGCCTCCCGCCCGCCCGGGGACCTCCCCCGCGCCCCCCTCCCCGGGACGCCCGTGCCGATAGCTCCGGCCGCTCCCCTCCCCCATCCACCCACCCAGCGAGCGCGCGGGCGAGCCAGGGACCCAGGAAGCTCGGCCCCGGGTCCCCGGCGGGCGGGCGAGCCGGCCCCACCCCGGAGCCTCGCGCGCGCTACCTGGCGGGCCCCGCGCGGCGGGGAAGGGGGGAGGGGGAGGGCGGCCTCGGCCCGGGGTCCCAGGCGATGGGCGGAAGCGGGGAGCCGGCGGGGGCGGATGGCGCTCGCCCGCTCGCCCGCTCGCCCTGGAGAGCCGGAGCTTCCACCCGGCACACACCCGGGACGGTCTCGCGCGTGGGCGCCGCCTCCGCCGCCCCCATCCCCGGGGACCGGGACCGGGACGGGGCGACCAGCAGCCCGGCGAGCCAGCAGCAAGCGGCCCGGGGGCGGCCGTGGGCGCTCGCCCCGGGGCTCGGCGGGGACGAGGCTCCGCCCGGGGGTCCCGGAGGGCGAGCGGGCGGGCGAGCGGGGGCTGCTCACCTGTGTCCGGAGTGGGTGGCGGCGCTCGGGGCCCGGCTCGGCAGTGTCCCTGGGCGGCGGCGGCGGCGGCGAGGCTGAGACTCTGTCCCTGATCCCGCTGCTCACAGGCTACAGCGGCTCCGCAGACACGGGGTTTCCTCCAATCACCAGCCCCGGCAGCAGGGGCGCCACACGCACGATGACGTCAAACGCTGCTATGGCAACCGTTGATTGGTGCCCGGCGCAAACCGCCGCTCCTCCCCCCCTCCCACCCCACACACACTCCAGGCGCGCGCCCCGCCCACCCGCTCGCCCGCTCGCCCGCTCGCCCGCGCCGAGGGAGAGCGCGTCCCCGACCCGGCCGCCTTCCTCCTCCTCCGCCGCCGCCGCCGCCGCCCGCGTGCTCGGCTCGCCCCCTCCCCCGCCAGCCGCCCGCCCTCCTTCCCGCCCTCCCTCCCCGCCCCTGCGGCCCGCGGAAGGAAGCCTCTCCCCGCCCCCACCGCTCCCGCTGGCGGGCACATCCGGGGCCTTCGCGTCGCCCCACCCCGCCCCTCCCCCGCCCGCCCGCTCGCCCGCTCGCCCCTCTCTCCGCGCCGGTCATGACGGCGGGCTCTGCGGGCCCGGGGCATTGTGAGCTGAGCCCGGGGCTCGCCCGCTCGCCCCCGCTTTACCTGCTCGCTCGCGGCCGCTGCAGGAAGCGGCCCCAGACCGTTTCAGGCTCGGGCGAGCCGCCCTCCCTCCCTGCCTGCCTTTCGGAATCGCCGAGCCCGTGACGGCCCCGGGAGACAATGGGGGGGTCCCCGGGTGGGGAGGGGGAGCGGGGGCAAGGGCGTGTGCGAGCGGGGGTGGGGAGGGCAAGACGGGGTCGTGGGGGTCGGGGGCGAGCCTCGGGCTTTCACGGGGAGACACGGTGTCCTTGTCCCCTCCACACGCACACTTAACGCTCTGAGAGAGCCTGGAAGCCACCTCAGAGCAGGGGGGGGGGCGCCTAGGCCCGGAAGAGGGGGGAGGAAAAGGGCGGAAATTGCAGGTGCCTGCACCCGCAAGGTCTCCACCCAGTAGACGGAAGCTGTAGGGAGAGGCGTTCGCAGTGTGAAGCCTGCGCCCTTGCCGCCCCTGAGCTGAAACAAACACCTTTGCCCAGCACCTGCTGGCGGGGAAAAAGATTAAAAAAAATATATATATATATATATCCTCAGAAATTCAGCCCAGGGAAAAAGATAAAAAATACATATTTTAAAAAAACCCTCAGAAATTCAGCCCAGAGCTCTCTGGAAGATTCCGCGGCTAGCTACTCTTCCCCTCACTCGGTGTGTCGGATGCTTGGTCCGATCCGCAAGCTTATTCTACGAATTATAGTTTCCCTGAAATGGCAGCTACCTCGAGCTAGAGCTGCCTGTGTGACCAGTTCAGCATCGCTTCCCCCGCCCCGCCCCGAGTGCGCACATCTACAGATGCCTAGCGTTGCTGAAACAGAAGAGCAGATCAATGCAGGTTTTTACCTCCACGCTACTGGAGTCAACTCACTTTGGCTCTAATGGAGATTCTTGCAGGGAGTGACTCGCTTGAAGCGACTAACACGTCAAAAGCTTCCAGGTTCCCAGTTTTGTAGTCGGCGCTCCAAATTTGACAGAAGGCACTAGGTTAGGTCTTTTGTAAAATGGAAAATGGCTGTTAATGTCCGAAATAACGTGTGTACCCGGGGATGTGCACCTCAGGGGGAGCTAAGAGATTTCTCTGCATAAATTGCAGACTTGCTTTGGAGAACTAGCTAGTTCAGGCTTTTGCCTCGTGCGTTAACTATTGGTGCTTTTAGGTTTTACGAATCCAACATGTCCACCTACTAAAGGCGTAAGACTGTAAGTGGGCAAGATTTGCCATGCACAGCCCAAATAAAAAGTAGTTGGAAAGTAAGGGATAAGATGGCATGTAGCAAAGATAATAAACACCAGGCACACGCCTTTAATCCCAGCACTGGGGAGGCACAAACAGGTGGATCTCTGTGAGTTCGGGGCCAGCCTGGTCTACAGAGCGAGTTCCAGGACAGCCAGGAGGACTGTTGTTACACAGAAACCTGTCTCATATAATCTATGAAGTTGAACTCTGGGGAAACGCCTGGAGACCGAGATGTTCCATTTTCTTTTCTTCTCAGGTCTTAACCTCATTTGACTGTTTCCTCTGTGCATTGGTAGCCGCGGCAATAAAATACCAGCAATAAAGACAGCATCCGGGGCCGAGGATTACTATGGTGCCCGTACGCATGTGTGTGTTTCTTAGCCTTATTCCACGCAGCGTGACTGTGTTGCATGCTGGGAACGATAAGGCACAGATTAGATGTCTTTAAGTGTTCAAAGACTAGCGTTAAATGAAGTTCTCTTGAGAGCAGGAGGTCTAAAGTTCACAGATGAACGTGTGCTAGCCCAACACTAACCAGAGACACGACAGCACTAAGTGTTTCTCCATTCCTGTCCCAAGACTATAATGATCTTTTCAGGGTTGCGATACACAGTAAAGCGGGAAACAGCTCAAGTAAATTCACAAAAACCCACTCCAATCAGAAAGACGTCCCAGATGGGATCCTTCCGGGTCGTAACCATCCCGGCCGGCCACAGCTGCAGTCAGAACGGGGCCAGTCCCCGTTTGTCTTCCCGAGGTGTGTTCATAGGGTTACTAAGACAGACACACTAATTCCTGGTCCCTGTTACAGTTTTTGTCCGGCCAGGTCCCACCGTCCTTCAGCCCCAAATGAACACACAGAGACACTATATTGTTAAACTGTTGACCGGTGACTGGGGCTTCTTATTGGCTAGCTCTGTCTTAATTATTAACCCATCTGTATAAACCTATGTATTCCCACATGGTCTTGGCTTACCGGAGAATGCCCCAACCTGTATTTTCTTTGCTGGCTACGTGGAGTACGTGGAGTCCTCTCTAATGCCTCTCTGCCTATCTTTCCCAGAATTCTCTGTCCCCTAGGCAGTGTTTTATTCGTGAACCAATAAGAGAAACACACACAGAAGGCTGTCCCCCATCAGGTTACTGCAGTAAAGAGTGGGTTATCAACAGTGGAAGGGAAAGCAGGATGGACACATGCTCGCTCAACCCCCTTCTCCAGGGGCCACCGTTGGGACCCCTGTCCAGTCTCTTCTAGCTAGGTGTGGCCCACTGACCACCTGCTAGCTAGTGAGACACAGTGGTGCCCTCCGCTTGTGGGCCTGGACCATAAATCTCACTGGGATCCTGCCTGGCAGACCAAGGCGCTTGAGGAGGGCAGGTTCATACAATAAAAGATGCTGTACCTTGGGATGGGCTCAGTTGCCTGGAGCCCTGGATCTGATCCCAGTGCCACACAGCAATGGCTGTGGTGACACACTCGTGTTTGTCACTCAGGAGGGGGAGAAAAGAGGACTGTAGCTGGACCTTTTCCGTCGGTACCATCAGCTCTCCGGCAATGACATGGAGACTTACTAAATATGAAAGCTCAACCCATAGCTTAGGCTTGTTTCCAACTGGCTCTAACAAATTAACCCTTATGTTTCAATCTACGTCCTTTTACGTGGCCAGGTGCCTTGCTTTGCACGGCCCATGCTGTTTCCTGAGTCTCCTGGCCTCTCAGCATGACTCCTACCCAGCATCCTCTGTGCCTGGCTCCCGCTGAGCTACTGGCCTTACTAAACCAGAGTGACACATCTTCACAGTGAGCACAAAGATTATTCCAGAAACAGAGGGTCACAAATTCAAGGTCATTTCCAGCTACATGAGATCCTATATTTAAAAAGAGAAAAGAAAAGAGGGGAAAAGTGAAAGAAGAAAATAATGACAGAGCTGGATACAGTGGCGCACACCTTTAATCCTGGAACTCAGGAGGCAGAGGCAGGCAGGTCTCTGTGAGTTTGAGGCCAGCCTGGGTTACAGAGCAAGTTCTAGGTCAACCAGAGGCAGGCGGGCCTCTGAGTTTGAGGCCAGCCTGGGTTACAGAGCAAGTTCTAGGTCAACCAGGACTACATAGTGAGACTTTGTCTCAAAAAAGGAGTGGGAACTAATCTTATTTTGGTAAGATCAGCTATCCATTGACCTCTAGAATGACCTCAGAAGTGGGAAACTAATCTTATTTTGGTAAGATCAGCTATCCATTGACCTCTAGAATGACCTCAGAAGTGGGAAACTAATCTTATTTTGGTAAGATCAGCTACCCATTGACCTCTAGAATGACCTCAGAAGTGGGAAACTAATCTTATTTTGGTAAGATCAGCTATCCATTGACCTCTAGAATAACCTCAGAACAGGGGTATGTCCTGGATGCACACTGTTCTAATGTTCACACAGCATTTTTGCTTTGCTACTTACTTGATACTATATTTATTCCTTTGCTGTTTGGCCTTGCTTTTCTCTGAATGTTTCATTCATTTTCTACCTATTTTTTGTTTCAAGACAGGGTTTCTCTATGTAACAGCCCTGGCTATAGTGGAATTTGCTCTGCAGATCAGGCTGGCCTCAAAATCTGCCTGCCTCTGCCTCCCAAGTGTACCTATAAATCCTATCATACATGCCCTATCCTCTTTTCAAACTTTGAGTTTGAAAACTGGGTTTTTCTGTACATTGATTTTTTTAAGACTGAAAAGATGGCTCAGTGAGTAAAAGCACTTGTTTAATGGACATAAGCATCCACCATGATTAAATCCCCGAATCCATGGTTACTCTTGTGGAGAGAGGGGTCTGGTAGATCTGGTCAGTTTCAGGGACTTCCTGGAGCAATTTCGAATTGTTTACCTTTTGTCTTAAGCAGGTTCTCCACTGGAGTGAATTTTTCACTCCAGCAAATGCTCCTGTTGATCTCTGGCTATGGCCTCTACCCATTCACATACGTGAAGATGGAAATAACAGTATCTGAAAAAGGGGGTCTAACATATTAATTAAATATACTGACAAGATAAACAGAGGGATAGGAGCTCTGGGAATGTGGCAGGCTTCCAAGAGAGCAGGCTTTTGCTGTTCTTTTCCTTTTATCCTCCCCTGTCCCCGTACTCCTGTTCATGATTACACATACACATCCACTTGTATACACAAGGACCTTGCCCTTGCTAGGCGGACCCTCTGCTGCTGAACTAAACCCCTAGCCTCTAGTCTCTTGTTAGCCCATAGCGGAGAATACATGCTCTTCCTGGAGTCTTCAGGCAAA